ATACGGCTTGTAAAGTTATACTCTTTCTTTTAACTTACCTTCGGATGTTTAGTCATATTTATTTTGTGCTGAAACTGGTATTAATGTGGAGGAAATGATCAGTTCATGTGCGCCTCACACTGCTGCGTCTGTAGAACTGAGGCACTACAGCGATCTGTCACTCCACATTAAACAGCACCAAAACAGCATTTATTGTTTGAATACTGCAATACAATGAAAAGAATTTGAAATCTGAGACTTTGTTTCATACGAAATGTACCAAAGCACAATGCTTATTGCGATTTATTGGATGGGAAGTACCCTTCAATGTTCCGTCCATTAACTGAAAACAGGCTAGAATACTCGATTCTTGGCATTTAAGAATCGATATCGTTCCGTAACAATGAGAATCGATTAATATCGAGATATCGATATTTTTTACCCAGCCCTAATCGCAATGGAGGCATTGCTTCCCCCATTCATTCTCAATTACCCCCCACCAAACTCACTGCATGCTTTAGGAGGTCTGTTAAAACTCAATGGGCTCAGGGGAGGCGAGAGAGACGCAGGCCCCCTCTGTAACTTTACCTGCTGGTGTCATTGCTAGACAGTTTTACTTTAGAAAAATTTGTGATTTATACGCTTTTTATGACATATTTTGTAATTTTTGTGTTGTTTTATTTTTGTACTATGATTTTTTTTTTCTAATCTAATTTTTTGAGGAGGTACTGCCTCACTTGCCTCCTCGGAGGAAACGCCCCTGATGTAATATTATATTGAAACTAACATTATTGTCACTGTACATTTATCTGCCACTAAGGATTCCCTTTCATGGGAACTTCGAACTGCGTCCTCTAGGGGTCGCTATGGGGAACGCCTCGTCGTGACCCGTGTCTGAAGCATACATTGAAAAAAACACCAACTCGTTGGCCGGCGACAGCCATGACGTCACGACCGGTGCAACTATAGTATAAATAGGCGCCGGGAGCACACATCATTCTCTTCTTCGTCTTCATTGACTGTTTTGTTTGAAGCATGCATTTCTGTGTGAAGCTAAGTGACAACTTAGATATTTAATTTGACTAAACTTCAAATTATAAGACATCATGAACACTTACTTAAAATTGAAACAACAACAATTTTTCATTTATTTATTTTTTTTAAATTGATGGAAGTCGTTGGGGACCAGCAGCTGTTTGGTTACACACATTCTTAAAAATATTATGTTCAACAGGAGAAGGAAACTCGTACAGGTTTGGAAAACCTTGAGGGTGAGTAAATGATGAAAGAATTTTCATTTTTGAGTGAACTAACCTTATAATTTGGTGGAAATCTACTCTTTACTAAATACAGTAAATATACTATAAAAACATACATACATACATTCTTATACATACACAAGAATAGCTTATTTAGGCCCTGTTTACACTAGTGCGTTTTTGTTTTAAAACGGCATTTTAAAATGAAAACGATCCTCGTCTACACTTGCGTTTTCACTGTGTTTCAGAAACGATCTCCGTCCACACTACACAACCGAAAACGCATGTCACATGACCATTCATGCAGGTACAACAATGAGCATGATGTTATTGTTTACACGGTAGTCAAGGATACGCAGAGCGAATGTGGGCAGCCATGCCATCGTTTTTAAAAGTCTCCGTTTTGGTCCATTCACACTGAAACACAACCCCAGAATTTATCCAATGATGAACAATTTCTATCCTGATGGGAAGTTGACAGTGACCCCAACCATAGGACATGTATGGTCACCATATCTCAACCCATTTGAACACCTATTTTGAACCAGTTGACCAAAATGGATTTTGGACCAATGTGAGTGACAGCACTCTCCACCAAAAATATGTATATTAGAAGTCTAACAATGACAATAAAGAAATGGCGAGAACATGTTACTATGATCAGAGGAGTGAGTTCTTTTGACTTGTGAATTATTATTTAGTTTTAGTTTTATTAATTTTAGTTAGTTGTGAATTAATTTTAGTTTTACAGTGTAAAAAAATCACTAGATTTGTTTTCTTGTGTGGAATTTAATTATTTATTGGAATAAAACACAGAAATGTTTACATGTTAAGCTGGGATAAAAGAAATCAGCTCTAAGGTATTTTCATTTCATTCTCATGTCTAGCACTGCTGTATCATCTGACTGTTTTGTGTGTGTGTGTGTGTGTGTGTGTGTGTGTGTGTGTGTGTGTGTGTGTGTGTGTGCGCTTTAGAGACTTACATTTAAAAACTCAAACGAGAAGTGCTGTCTCTGTGCGAGAAGGCCAGGGGGTAGTTTTACTTTGTGGTACACCATCATATGCAGGAGGTAAGCTTTTATAGTGTTACTTTTTTGGTTTATAGTCTAGTTTAGCATAAATATGCTGTACACATGTGTGAAATACAGAGCTCTGACTTATCAGTGTACTCCATGGGATTTAATATGTGTTTTGAATGGGAAGAGCTTGCACGCTTTGTCGAAAGAAAAATCATTTTTAGAGACCACAGGATTCAAACACTTCAACACAAGAAGGTTTTGCACCTTGTGGCCTCTAAAAATGTGTACAAATTTGAAGGACTTAATGGCTTTCAGGTGTGTGAGTTTATTTCATTTGATCTTTGAGTCTACGCACCTATTGTTTGGCTAGACATTTTTTGTAGTTTTTTATAAAGATGCCGTTTTATACAGCTTAGGATTCTAATTATCCTAAGATCATTTTGGATATACCTGGGTCAGATTTCAGTAGTGCTATTGGGAAAGAAAAGTGTTATCGGGGCCCTAATGATTATACCAAAAAGTACAAAGAATTTCTCATTTAAGTTCCCAAGAGTGTTTGGCTAGCCTAGTTCATTTGTTTTGAATTATATATGTTCTGTGCCCCATCTCCTTTCCAGATCTCTCATTTGCATGGGTCTTTAATGAGTACCCTTACTTTGTTCAGCAAGACAATCGTCGCTTTGTCTCTCAGGAGACGGGAAACCTTTACATCGCCAAAGTCGAGCCCTCAGATGTGGGTAACTACACGTGCGTGGTGGTAAATCGCATTACTAAAGGCAAAGTCCTGAGCTCCCCGACCCCTCTGGTACTACGAACAGATGGTAAATATCAACATTTTTTCCTGTGGGCAATTTAGTAGGCAGAAGCTAAATCATAATATCATCACTAAAGGGTTTGATTGACCTTACTGCATCAGGTTTGTTTGAACTGTGTCAGAGCCATTGCTGTAGGAGGTCCCACCAGCTCCATCGTCCACCACGTACATATAAAATTAAATAAAGTGCTTTAATGTAGTGTATCATGTAAAATAATAAAATGAAAACTTCATTAACACACAACTCGGCCCACATAATATTAAATATTAAAAACTTCAAGAGCTTAAAGTAAATTGTTAACATGTTCTTATGCAACATTAGAAAAATGACGTGTCTAGTTGGGCTAACAGCAAAGTATATGTGTAAATTTTTTTGGACCTGGATTCAATTCCCATGGTGGAATAAACAAATATACAGTATGCTGCTGTTTTGTTTTGTCAGTAGCAGGATTTTAAATTTGTTCCATATTAGATTTAATTGATTTGATTAACTTGACCTCTCACAAACCTCTGAGTACACCTTTACACTATTACAACGATTGCTAGTAATTTTATTAGTTTACTTGCCACATGAATGATATCATTCACACACACATAGACACATATAGACAGTTCCAGGGTATATATATAACAATATAACATTAGGTTGACATTGGACCCCAATGTCGGACAGACGTTGCGTTTTGGTTGAGAATGAAAATTGGGTTAACGTCAGTATTTGACGTCAATTTGATGTTGTATTAACGTCGGCTTAACATTGGATTTTGGTTACTTTACAACACAGCCTAAAAACAACAAAATATCAATGTCTGCTGACGTCGGTATTGGACATCAAATTAACATTAACATTAGACGTTGAACTGACAATGAATTTTGGTCACCCGACATCGCAACCGAAATCAACGTCTTATGACGTTGTGTGCCTGCTGGGCTAATGTTTGTGTAATCTATTAACTAGTCTTTAAGTATGAGTGTCATGCCGTGGCTAGGGGAAGACACGCTCCACTTATGTGATTCAGTGAGAAAGCAGTCCAAACAAACGCGAATAGACTTGTTCACAATCATGTTCGGCCAGTTCAATGAAAAGAGAGAACCGATTTGTGTTGGCACTTGGTTCTGATTAAATGTTTATGAAATATATTGAATAATGCAGATGTATAGTTGATATATCTCTGTCTTTGTATTTGGACTAATTTATTTTGCTTAGAATTTGAAAGCAACACCGAAAACACTTTCTCTGGTGTCGACTTGACAGCATGTTAACCATGCAAACACTTCTTTTTACATAACTAATTTAAAGTGTAAATTAGTTTTAGACAGTGTTTTTTTTAGAAGTCAGAGCTTCGTAGACAGCCCTGCTTACTCTCCAAGAGATTCTTTCACAGTCCTAAACTTTGCCTTATATAAAGTAAACATAAACAATGGCTGGATAAAATATTTACCAACACTGTAAAAACTGCAGCAAACACCACACCTCTCTACGTTGTGTCAGACTCCAGATGATGGTATGAATTATTTGTTGCCTTTGTTTTAGCTGCCTGTTCTCAGAAAAAAAAAAAAAAAAAGCTGTTCACCTACTAACACTATTTCATATCTGTTGTATAATGTATTTTCTACTATTTTAGATCAGTGAATGAATTGTGAATGGAAAAATAACACTTTTTTCTTTATAGGCGTAATGGGTGAATATGAGCCGAAAATAGAGGTTAATTTCTCTGACATGGTTCCAGCCGCAAAGGGATCTGTTGTGACACTGGAGTGTTTTGCTTTGGGGAAGTAAGTGTGATTCCTCACCCTTTTGTAGTTACTGATGCCGATTCCTTCCATTACGGCTATCCTGACTTTTAATGGTACTCTGTGACTGAGTTTAATGCGTTTTACAAATTGGCCCTTTTCCACCTCTTCTCGCCACCTTTTAAACATGCTTGTCAAAATCTGTATAACAGTCTATTTTTTGCCTTGAGGCAATTTTTCTGTCTCAATTGATCCCATTAGTGGATGAGCCATATACATATTCCTTGCAAAAAGAAATGAGGTGGTGTCTTATGAGGAAATGTAACTCATTTAGTATGTTAGAGCTGAGATATGAGGAGGAACGACAGTAATCTACAGTATAATGATATTATACAAAATTTGCATTCTTTATCTTCATCTTTTATGTTTCTCTCTCTCTCACTCGGTGTTCTTTCCTTCTTTTTTCTCTCTATGTAGCTTTTCATTTTTCTCTTTTGCTTTTGCAAGATTACTCACCATAGTTTTTCTTACATTCAGCCCAGTTCCAGAGATAACGTGGAGGAGAGCGAATGGAGTGCCGTTTCCCAGCAAGGTGAAGATGAAGAACTCAAATGTAGTTCTGGAGATTCCCAGTTTCCAGCAGGAGGACGCCGGAGGCTATGAATGTGTAGCAGAGAACAAGATGGGAAAGAACACGGTGCAAGGACGACTGTCTTTCCATGGTATGATTATTTCACTCATAGTAATTTTATGTTTAGTGGTGCACAAGATTCATTTTTGCCATAAACAATTACAAGGATTTTTCAAAATTTCACAGCAATTTCTTGTAATAAAATACAATACCACTCCATTGTTGTATAATCACGTAAATGGTTTCATCTTCCTTTGACATTGTACAAATATTACCATAGAAATTGCTGTGAAAGTATGGCAATGAGTTGCTAAGAACATACTGTAAATAAACTGGAAAAATTGTACATTGTGTCCACTGTGTTATTGTACTACAGTAGATACACATGGTATGATTGTTTTATCCATTATATGATTTTATTTTGTGCACAGTTGTGTAATTATTTATTGGATATTAGTAGGATTTGCAAAATCCGGTCGTCTTTGCCATATCGTTTTGTCTGTCATTGAAATTAATGCTTGCTAATAATTTAAAACGCACTTAATGGATATTATTGTTGTCATAACCATTAAAATTCTTGCCAGCGTTTACCAAGAGGAACCCTGCCAGTCCGGTCATTTCACAATCGCAGTGAATTGCTTTCTGATTACTTTCTGCCCTGTCTGACTTTCTTATAGTTTCTATAACCACATAGTAAAGACCAATATACGGATTTGGCAGCGTGATGTTGCAGCGTGCCAAGACTCAGCAATGCTAAATGCTAATTTGAGACACTTTCGTTGATCCAGAAAGGTTACAGTTTTATAGAGCCAAAACATAGATTGACAAATAGCATTTTTTTGCAGACAGATAGATAGATCGATAGATAGACCGACAGACAGACAGACAGACAGACAGACAGACAGACAGACAGATAGATAGATAGATAGATAGATAGATAGATAGATAGGTATATTTATGTATTAGAGCTCTGATATTTTCTTCACTTTAAATACACATGCATGAAGAATTTCACCTCTGGTGTATTATTCATAATCATCATATTTTAGTTAATAATGCTACTCATTATTAACACTTCAGACGCTGCAATTAGGTCAGCTCTTATTATCTTGGCCATTTTACTCTCCAATTTTATTCATTATTTTACCTTAGTTTTATAAGATAAAGCTTTTGTTCCAAATCTTACACCAAAGTCTGGCCCAAAGGGATATCGGTTAAATGTGGACAAATTACAGGTCTATCTGGAAGTTAAGCACTTGTGAGCCCATTTTTGGAGGCGAGACATGACTCAAAGGATTATTAGGCACTAGAAGTCAGCATGTGAGAATCATTACCTCCTTGGGTCTGTCATTTTCCATTGACACAATAACAAGAAGAACATGCCTCAACCTAATGATGTGGAGATCACCAGCTACACACAGAATTACTGGCCATAGTGTGCTGAAAAATGATTGAATATCAAGATAAAAATAGCAAATGTTTCCTAAGATAATTGATAGCTGAACAGCTACTCAATATCTCGTAGGTATGGCAACCTTTCACATGTGGTGTAAATAAATGGAAAAATATACAAAAAAGAAAAACACTTGCAAGGAACCCATTAGTGAAATACAATATAAACAAAACTGAAGTGCAAATCAGCACAGCGCTTTTGCATTGGACAGCTGGGATTTCAAAGGTTTTCTTTCCACTCACATCTCTGTACACACCACTTCTAAGTTCCCAGATGAAATGTTGTTATTGTGAATGTGAGTTCACTCGTTCCCAAGGTTATTGAGAAGGTTAGAGGGGCAGGTGCAACTCTGACCTTCTTCTGAAAAGACCCGGCCTCCACAAACGATACAAAAACATGAAAGCTTTTCTTCCCAGTGCTGTCAGAGAGCAAGCGTCCTTGTATAATGCAGTATGCCAAACTCTTTGAAAAAGGCCAAAGCATAGAAAAGAAGAACTGATAACAGTTGCAAGGTTGGTCAGCTTATGCGTTTCATAGATGTTTGGGTTTAATTAATTCTTGGAAAACAGGAGCTGATCAGTTTTTTTTTGATGAGTCAATCAGTACGTGACTCCGATCGATCAGGTTAGTGCTTAGTTGCCACAAAACCTGCAAGCACCGTTAGTGTGAATGGTGATTGGTGATTCATCTATAGCCATGCTTACACAGATCTTGTGTGATTGGTGGGAATCAACAATGCAGAACATGAGGAGAGTGTCACATTATAGAACCGTGTTTGACTGTTCAATCATTAATCTAGACAGAATCAGGGACATGAATGGAAATCTTTTCAATCAGGAAGACGGATAGATCAAGTACTTATTGGCATGTTGTGCTTCCAGTTAATTGGATAAAAGAGTGTCCATGTTTCAGCAAAGCTAAACCCTAAAATCATTGTGCATGTTACATGTTACATTTGGGGAAGTCGTGGCCTAATGGTTAGAGAGTCTGACTCGTAACCCAAAGGTTGCGGGTTCGAGTCTCGTACCGGCAGGGATTGTAGGTGGGGGGAGTGAATGTACAGCGCTCTCTCCCACCTTCAATAAATACCACGACTGAGGTGCCCTTGAGCAAGGCACCGAACCCCCAACTGCTCCCCGGGCGCCGCAGCAAAAATGGCTGCCCACTGCTCTGGGTGTGTGTTCACGGTGTGTGTGTGTTCACTGCTGTGTGTGTGTGCGCACTTTGGATGGGTTAAATGCAGAGCACTAATTCCAAGTATGGGTCACCATACTTGGCCACATGTCACTTCACTTTTTTTTTTTACTAGATCAAAGGAGCACAAGCTCAAGTCTCTATGATTTTCTAAACCCTATATATGGCTCAGTTCCCTCACTGAAAGTATTTATTGTAAGAAAATTATTGATTTATAAATAAAATAAGAAAAAGAAATAACTAAGCAATAATCAATTTTAAAAATGCTTGCCTTAACAATTCCATTTTCATTAAGATTGGCAGATGTGGTACTATATTTATGCATTTAACAGATACTTTTATCCAAAGCTAAAGAGTAATAAAGCAATTTGTCAAAGAGACAAAAATAATTGTAATTCACAATCCTGTGTTTTTTAGACAACTAGGAGGCAAACTTGAAAAGAGGAGAAATGCAGAGAAGAGTTTTCATTTAGAAAAAAAAAGTTATTTTAAAGTTAGTCAAAGTAGTCTGAGAATAGCTTTGTGTGTTTCTTAATATAGTGTTTTCTTCAGACATTAACTAGCATGTAGAATTTAAAAATATTTAGTGTCAACCTATCAATCAAGACTATATTTATACATATATTTATAAATAAATATTTATTATATATATATAATATTTATACACTACAATTTAAAGGTTTGCTATCAGTAAGAGTTTTATTTTTATTTTATTCAGCAAGGACACTTTAAACCGCTGAAAGTTATTATTTCTAATAATAATAATATTATATATTTCTAATGCTGTTGTCACGCTGCACACATATGAGGAACGAGGAGACGCTGGAGAATACTTTACCAAGACTTTATTTGCACCAAGGGAGACGAACACAGGAAGACGTTCACAGCGGACAGAGAACTAGGGACTGGGAACACTTTAAATACACACAGGAGGAGGGGATGACGAGACACACCTGGGATCAATGAACCATCATGGGGAACACCTGGGACAAATTAAACATGGGAAAGGAACACCTGGGGAGCAAGACACAGACAAAACATGGAACAGAGTCTGACAGCTGTTCTATTCAACTTTTTTATTCATCAAAGAATCTTGAAAAAAAATGTATCACAGTTTCCACAAAATAATTAAGCAGCACAACTGTTTTCAACATTGATAATAATAAGAAATGTTTCTTGAGCAGCAAATCCGCATATTTCATATTTCAGCATATATATGATTTCAGAAGTATCATATGACACTGAAGACTGGAGTAATGATGCTGAAAATGTATTTATTAAAATTACAGTTTAAATATATTCAAATAGAAAACACTTTTTTAAAATTGTAATAATATTTCACAATATTACTGTATTTATGATCAAATAGATGCAGCCTTGGTGAGCATAAAACATGAAAAATACTGAGATGAGAAACTGTGGCTGCTCTGTTGACAACATGACCATGACTGAGAGAAAAATCTTCAAGTAGACAGTGACAAAGACCATAGAAAGATCTCGACAAAGACCAGAGAAATGTCTTTGTCATTCAAAAACAAAAATAATGTATATAAAATGACTGATAAATTAATTCATAAAAACAATTGACTTTTGTCTCTTCAGCAAAGCCTCAGTGGGTTCAGACGATGCGAGACAATGCTTTGTCAATTGAAGAGAGATTGTTTTGGGAGTGTAAGGCCAATGGGAAGCCCAAGCCTTCATACAGCTGGCTGAAGAATGGAGAACTACTGGCAGCTGAGGTAAAATTCAAGCAGCGCACAGAGTAATGGTGTAGTGGAAAAAATCTGGGATGGCAGTGCAAAGATCCTTGGGTCAAACCTCAGCAGGGGAGCTCTGTTAAATGTACATAACAAAGTTGTATTGATTATATAAAGCCTCAGTCTTAGTCGTCGTTGTTTGAGTTGAATGCACAGCTATTTTTAAATGATTTTCATTGCTGTTGCTCTGTTTCACAGGACAGGATCCAGATAGAGAATGGAGCCCTGACAATCAGCTCCGTAAACCTCTCAGATGCTGGCATGTATCAGTGTGTAGCCGAGAACAAACATGGAATCATTTATTTCGGTGCTGAATTGGTGGTTTTAGGTAAGAGAATCTCTTCTTTCTCATTTCCAATCATCTTGTGCCTCTGTTCACTAAGCAGCACCATCCCAGCAAACACAAAACATTTCTACAACATTTCATTACATTGCTTTTTGATTGCAATTCTGCATTTGCAGTATAACATTTAAAATCTTTCTAGAAACTAAAACCACAAATTAATGTATATAAACTAAAATATTTTATAAATATGAAAATATTTTATTTAATTTTTCATACTATTGTTTCAACAATGAAAGAGACTGTTTGAATGACTGTATAAGCATTACGTTACATTTATTATACATTATAAATTTCTCATTTAAAAAAAAATTGAATTAGCATCATGATAACATTTAGGCGTTGGTTACCTATTTAAAACTAGAGTAGATATAGTGAATTAAGACTGGCAGATGTGATGCTATATGAATATTGTTATTTTAATGTAGTTAAAGCAGTTGGAGAAATATTACAAATATAAAAATTTGGAAAAATATTTAAATAACAAAATGTGTATTTTTTATTTTATTTTATTTTATTTTATTTTAAACTCCCTAAAATAAATTGTGATTTTTTTTTTATATTATTGTTTATTGTAGTGTATTGTACTAATGTTACTGAGACTGCTTGAATAGCTGTATAAAAGCCACACATTTTTAATTTGCTGAAAAATAAATGTAAACACTTCTGAAGCAACGCTTAATTTGCAAGCTTTTAACAAATAACATTGAGAACTGTTATAATAGCATTTAGGTGTCAGGTTACCTATTTAAGACTAGAGTAAGTAGAGTAAACTAAGACTAGTGCACCGTTTTACTTAAAAAAAAATACAAAAAAAAACTTTTACAGTGTGCTTGAGGGTTGTTTTCTTCTTCTTCTTCTTCTTCTTTTTCTTTTGCAAAAAAAAAAAAAAAAAAGGGTTCAAACTGCAGTATGGCTGATTATGAATATCAGAACACAGCTCTCATCCACTGGTGTGCACTGAAGTTTTTACAGGCAAATAAACTCTTGAAATGGGTTCACAGCACACACCAAGCTGCCCTCTTTTCAACATTTCCCATCAGAACATTTAGAGTGGGCTGGCATGGCACTGTGACTTTCAGTAATGTTAATCCACTATTGATTGGCTGGTGGGAGATGAGGACCTGTGGCCGCTCTGTTGACAACATGACAAAGCCACAGCTGAAGGGTTCACTGGGTGGAAAAACCATCGCGTAGACAGTGACAAACACCAGAGAAAGATCTTTGTCATCGGCTCATACAGAGATGGAGAGAGAGAGAGATGGTGGAAAGTGGGTAGAGGTCATTAAGGACACCTCTGCTTTCTGACTGCAGCCAATTCCTTCGCTGGTCTTCTCTAATGATATTTGTTTAGGAGCCAAGCAACCCTCCACGGGCTAATTAGGTAATAGAGATGCTATATAACAATGCTTTAGGCCACAGCGTGTTCGCTATGACAGTGCATAAGCAGCTTTCCCATTCACAGCATTGATAAACGCTGCTTCTCGGCAGAGGAGATACATTAGACCCAATTAGTGCTAGTCTTTTAGCGTTGCGTCATCGCTATCGGAAATTGTCTTTCATTTAATGGCTACTTTAAAAACTGGACAACTGACTGTGTAATATCAGCGTGGATTGATGTTATCCCTTATTATATCCCTGTTATTAACAGGTTTAGGGTTTTATACCATAGTCAGACATTTTTAAAGGGATAGTTCACTCAAAAAATTAAGTTCTGTTTTTATTTTTTAATGTTCAGGTTGTTGTACACTTGTATGTTGTTTATATAAGAATATAAGAGATAAGAAAGAAATAAAAACTTTTTATTAAAAAAAAGAAAATATTAATTTTAAAAGTTTAGTTTGACAGAAAATATTTTTTTATGTTTTTGAAAGAAGTCCCTTATACTTACCAAGGTTGCATATATTTGAACAAACCAATGTTATTTTAGTATCATTGAGATACTATTATATTTTTGTTCATATTTTCAATTTGATTTTATTTTTATATTTTCTGTTTTCATGTTAATTTTAAAGGTTATTTTTTTTGTAATTTTGTTGTATTTGTCATTTTTATTAGTTTTTGTTGTTTTTAAATATGTCTATATAGATTATTAGATTATTATAGATTATTAATTTTATTTCTGTTTTAGTTTGTTATTTTAGAATAAGATAAATTAAATGAAAAAGAGAAATTTTGCCTTGGAAACTAGCTGAAATATTTCAGTTTATAATTTTATTTCAGTTAACATTTATTTCATTTCAAGTAACGAACATGTTTTTTTTTTATGGTTTTAGTTTTAGTTAACTATAATAACCCTGGATCAGACATGCAGTAAATATAGTAACATTTTAAATTTTTTTATATATTTTACAATTAAATTTTGTCAAAGTGATAGATAGATAGATAGATAGATAGATAGATAGATAGATAGATAGATAGACAGATCCACTTCATAAAGACACACTAATTCAAAACGTAATTAAAAAGTTTATGATTTATCCTAAAAGAGATAAAATGATGGAAAATATCGTATCCCAAAAATTATGGAAAATATTGTATCCCAAAAGTAAGATTTTTGCCCTTTTTTTTTTTTGTATGGTCCTAATAAAGACCTGCTAACATTGTGGTAGTCGACTGCATCCTTCACAACCTAGTGCTCAAAACCACCCACATAATGGGGAACTGCTCCACGCAAATTGCATTCATCACTAATTTTCTTACCTGATTTGCATCATTCCTTTAGTGAAGCGCTAAAACAACAGAGAGAGGCAGAGAGCAAGTGAAGTCCCTCCAGAATTTGCCTTGAACTGTTCCTTTAAGAGAAAATGCTAAAGTGGTCCAACATCAGCAGTGCACACAAACACACGCACACAATGCTGCTTTCGGCCCTGCTGTCCGTTTACAGTAATGCGCGCAGGGCATCCATGCCTGAGGCAGTAGTTTGACTCTCTTGGCCATGTGTTTTTCCACAGCCTCGCCCCCAGACTTTTCCAGAAGCCCTCTCAGAGCTCTGCTTAAAGCCAAGACGGGCAGCACAGTCACCATGGAGTGCAGGCCGCAGGCCTTTCCCACAGCCATCAGCATGTGGAGGAAAGGCATCGAACTGGTGCAGAGCACAGACAGGTATGAATACAATCGTTTTTTCTCTCTTTTCTTTGTATTCTTGTCCTTAATTCCTCTTATTCCTTCTTTCTGACCATCTATTCGTTCAAGGCTTCACCCCAGCAGCCCTACTATGTTCATACTATCTGTGCACAGCCTGCAACTGAACAGTTATCAAAAGGAAGCTGCATCGCCAATTGTGGTAGCTCACTGACCATAACACTCATGAATTATGAAGCAGGCCATTAGGCCGGGCCGGCAGGAGGTGCTCGGCATTTTGGGTTGAGTCTGTCAAGTATGAAATGATTCCTGGTAGGAGGCCACTTGAGGAAGCACAGCGGATCGCAAGCTTGGCTTTTTTTTATAATGAAGTTGGATTAAATAGTATGGGGAGAATCCTGTCAAGGGTGCAGAACTACTGTGGGAAAACAATAGATTTGCATTAAGCCACAGTTGTTTGTTTTGAGAGCATTCGGTGAGACTGCCCAAGTCCAATTTAACTGTAAGTGCATTGCCGGGGAATTGTGCATTACAACATTAACATTCCAGTACTGGGTTACCAGCATTTGCTGTCTGCTACTCTGGATGATCTATTGTGAATAGCTGGTGATATATAAGGAGGCCCGGGGGCAATTATATATATATTTTTTTCCATAAATCAAACACTGCTGTACATCTAAATGCCATCACAAATATTACCATTACATTTTTACATTAAGAAAGCCTTGAGAATAATTTTGAATTCAGTACAAGATACAAGCATTTACCATTACAGGGATGGTTGTAATACTAGAAAGATGCTAGAAAACTAGAGAAACGTATTATCATAATATTTTATAAAAAATAATATAATTGCCTTAGAATATTAACGTTACTAAGTAGTTTTGGATGTATATAATTCTATTTCCTTTAGATCTCAAGAATAATATACACTACTGTTCAAAATTTTGGGGTCAGTAAGATTTTTTTTTTATGAAATTAATCATTTTCTTGAGCAAGGGTGCAATAAATTGATCAAAAAAGTGGCAGTAAAGTCTTTTACATTGTTGCGTAAGACATTCTCCTTCAAATAAATGCTTTTCTTTTGAACTTTCTTTGAAGAAAAAAAAGGGAAAAAAGAAAACATCAGTTTTTCACAAAAATACAACCATTTTCAACATTGATAATATTAAAAAATGTTTCTTGAGGATTAAATGATATTAGAATGATTTTTGAAGGGTCATGTGAAAACGCTTAAATTGTAGTAATATTTCACAATATTATTTTACTGTATTTTTGATCAAATAAATGCAGCCTTAAGCATAAGACACTTTCAAAAACATTTTAAAAATCTTACCGACCCCAAACTTTTGAATGATAGTGAATATCTACTAAATGTCAAATTGGAACCTACAAATAATTATATAAAATAAGTCACAACCCTGTCTATTAAAATATATTGATCAGCTGATAAGCCAAAAACATTTTTCTTTTAATCCAGTCATGTAATTTTTTAATTACTAGTGTAACTACATATTGCAGAAATAAGGTTTGTATTTCTTAAGGGCATGTATATTAAGAGTATGTCAATGAAGTAATGTCAATGAAGGTTTGGAAGGAAGTCTAATTCAAATGATGGGGCGGTAGATTGAGCGATGCAGCCCGCTGTTATAGCTCGCCGGCTTTACATTTGAATGACTGTTTCGTGTGAACGCACACTCTTCAGCTTCATTGGCTCTCAGGTAGCTGCATGCACTGAGCCACGGAGAGTGTCCAATGTACCGAGATTTATGTGCCATTCTAAAGAAACACATTATGTTCTTCTTACTACATTTCTACTGTGCCCACAAGATAAAACTCATTTGTACTCGGAATCTAGCTCCATTAGGAGTTAACCATGGTTAAATTTGATTTGAGAGGATTGTGCTTCTCTCCTTCAGGATAACTTTACTCCCTGATGGAACACTTAGAATTACAAATGTGACCAAGATGGACGGGGGAAACTACGCTTGCTTGGCTAGAAACCAGTTTGGTGCGGCCAGCACTACAGGAAAACTGCTGGTCACAGGTATGGATTACTGTAACAGCATTACGGTTTGCTTTTTCTGCAGATAGAAGTTATTTTAGATTGTCGTTCAACTGTGGGAATGTTATGTGGGAAGTGGTGATTTCTCTCCAAACTCTGGGGCTTTACAGTTTCAGGCAATTTGGTTCTTGATACAGCTGCACAATTAATCAAAATCATGACAGTTTCTTAAAGAGATCGTTAATCCAAAAATAAAAAGTCTGTCATTTACTCTCCCTCATGGCATTGCAAACATTTCTTTCTTTTGTGTAACACAAACAAAGATATTTTGATGAATGTCTCAACTGCTTTTGTCCATACAATGGAAGCCAATGGTGTCCAACAGTTTCAATCTCCTAAAATAACATAAAGGTAGCATATATGATGAACAGAGCAAAATTTAAGTGGTTATTTACTTCAAAAGACAATCCAAATTACATATGGAAAGACATGAATTACATCAAACCTCACTGCTTTTTGTGTCATGGCATTTCTGTTATGACATGTTCAGTCACGTGACATGCAAGAACCAATGAGGTTTTATGTTATTAATGTGACATAGGGTTAATATAGTTATCTAAAAGCAAAACAATAAAAAACGTGTTACTTGAAATAAAATAAAAGAAATAAACTTATTTCAAAATAAACTTAAATCGTGTTTCCTTCAGCTAGTTTCTAAAGCAACATTTCTCATTTTCATTTACTTTAACTTGATGTACTAAAATAAAAAAACTATATAGATATATAAAATAATAATAATGACAAATAATAATAAAAAACACACAACGAAATACTAAAACATAAACTACAACTAAAAGAAAAACCAAAATAAAAACTAATTCAAAATATGTTACAAAAAAAAGCTATATATAGTGTCTCAGTGATACTAAAATAACACTGATGTGATGTATTTGACATATGTGACCCTGGACCACAAAACCAGTCATAAGTAGCACAGGTATATTTGTAGCAATAGCCAAAAATACATTGTATGGGTCAAAATTATAGAGCTTTCTAATTTCTTTTTAGAATTTCTTTTATGCCAAAAATCATTAGGATATTAAGTAAAGATCATGTTCCATGAAGATATTTTGTAAATTTCCTACCATAAATATATAAAAACTTAATTTTTTGATTAGTAATATGCATTGCTAAGAACTTCATTTGGACAACTGTAAAGGCGATTTTCTCAATATTTAGATTTTTTTGCACCCTCAGATTCCAGATTTTCAAATAGTTGTATCTCGACCAAATATTGTCCTATCCTAACATACCATACATCAACGGAAAGCTTGTTTATTCAGCTTTCATATGATGTATAAATCTCAATTTTGAAAAATTGACACTTAAGACTGGTTTTGTGGTCCAGGGTCACATATTTGATTTAGACTCTGTATACATGAATTGATCTTTAATTTATTTTATCACTTCAGAAAACTTACATTAAACCACTTGTGTTGTATGGATTACTTTTATGCTATATGAATGATGAATGAACTATATAAATGCATCATTCATTCATTCATTTATGCTATATGTCCTTTTTGGAGCTTGAAACTATTGGACCCCACTGACTGTTATTTGTATAAACAAAAACAGCCGAAACGTTCTTCAAATATCTTCGTGTTTGACAAAATAAAGGAAATCATATACGTTTGGGACAACACAAGGTTAAGTAAATGAGAATATTTTTTTTTTAGTGTAATATCCTATCCTATCCTGACCTGCCAGTTACCCCAGAACAACATTTACATTTATGCATTTAGCAGGCGCATTTATCCAAAGCGACTTACAATAGAGGAACAAAAGCAACAAATAGATTAATCCAGAAGAGTATATACAAAGGTGCTCTGCCAATTAGAGGATTTCTGTTTCATGAAGTTAATATTGTTTTAATAATGCATTCTGAAAGTAAAGTTGTTTGATTGCTTTCTGGGGCTTACATGCTCCTCTAGTGTAATGCAATGGGTTGAGCGGTTCAGCTCTCCAAC